CCTAAGCAAGAAGAGTTTAGTGGGAAGGGGTAGGTACATGGTTAAAATGAAAAAGCTCTAGAAATTTTAGGAGAAAAAAAGGTAGTATGGAAACGTAGATGGCATTCTTCTTGGGAAGGTGTGAGTGGGCAGTGAAACCAAGAAGTAAAGTCTGGTTCTTCTTGGATTTGCTTATTCCCAACAGTGTTCATTTGAATGACATTCCAGATCATGACTATTCTTACTATTTCTCTGTAAGAGTCATATTTTTAATAAAGATGTATCCTACTATAATAAGTAGTATAAAAATACAGAGTTTTGTTCAGGTAATTTTCCACTAGTGTGTTCTAAAAAGTAGCAATAGCCATAAACCCATAAGAATATATGTATGAATTAATTATGTTCAAGGGCACAAAAGTGACTTCCAGCTCTGAATAAATCAACTTGCCACCATTTCCTTCTCTAAAGGTCAGCAAAATAAAGTAGGTTACAGTTTGCTATGATTTGAATGTGGCTTGTCCCCGCCAAAAATCATGTTGAAAGTTTATTCCCAGTGTGGCAGTGCTGGGAGGTGTGGTTATTTGGGTTTGGGGGGCAGATCCCTCATGAATAGATTAATGTCATCTCTCAGAAGTGGGTGGGTTATTGCTCTTTCAGGAATTGATTAATTCCGGTGAGAACTGGTTGTTATAAAGTGACATTCGCCCTTCTGTTTGGTCCTGTTACATACATGCCACTTCTCCTTTGACCTTTGGTCATGTTATGATGCAACAGGAAAGCCCTCACCAGAGGTCCAGCAGATGCTGGCACCATGCTCTTTGACTTTCCAGCCACCAGAATCATGAGGCAAATAGACTCGTTTCTTTATAAATTACCCTGTCTCAAGTATCCTGTTATAGCAACACAAATGGACTAAAACATAGTCCATGCTACCTTTGATAGGTATTTAGAATGAAAAAAAAAACAATCACACTAAACTTGTACCTTTCAGCATACAGAAATTGTTCAGACTAGTTCAAACATCACCATCTGGCTCTAGAGGTGATTAACAGCTTTCTTCCAATTACTTAACCAGCCTTAACATTTATTGAGCACATTCAAGGATAGAAAGCTCTTACGGAATTAAACTTGGCAGAAAAGGGTGGTTATAGACACACTCACAGCACATTCAGTAAGACTTTAAGGAGACACTGTGACAGATCTGACTTCAGGAAGTTCTGCCAAACCGTCAATTGCTGCTTGTAAACTGTGCAGCTTGGAACAAGAAGAACGTGTGTTTCCTTGTCAGGAGGATGAAAAACTTGACTGAAACTCTTCTGGGCTTATCCATCTCACCTGATGTTAAAAATAAGCAATTGGTTTCCTTCACACCATACAATCTGTTGAGGAAACTAGCAAAGGTACAATTTCAGGAAGAAGTAGGCCAATGTTACTATGCTATAAAAATGAGATGTTGGAAAAGTTTTGACAACACATAGAACTAATTAGAAAGCACCACTCAGAAAACAAAGCAAGTTGCCATTATATAAAACATTTAAACGTTTGTGTCCCAAAACTCATCTCAGGTTATTTTGTCATTAAGTGCAATGCTGGACTAGCATGCTAACTATTAATAGTGCCTCCTTCTCTGCAAATAGATGATGTCTTTGAAAACATATTCTTCCAGAAAATCACTAAAGACAGATCATTTCAGAGGCATTGATGTACTACTCATTAGAAAAGAAGCAGTGTCATGATGCAAAAAAAAAAAAAAAAAATTAAGTGACTAGGAAGCAACTTTTGGGTCTAAAATGTCACAATAAAGGATTTATCTTTCTCTGTTTCTAAAACAGAAAACTAAGCCTTTTGTTCATTAAGGAGCAAGTAAAACTGTGAGAGGCCCCAGTGCCTAGGAGAGTGGCTGGTACATGGTAGAAAGTCAATGAATTATTCTTCAGTGAAGAAATAAATTGTTTTTTTTTTGTTTTTGTTTTTGATTTGTCAGATCACAATATTTATTGCAATACATCTGTTTATGGCTCACAAATAGGCAACTTTTATTAACTGGCATGAATTTAAAAGCTCATAGTGCAATGGCACTATCTCTTCTAGAGGACAATGGTGACAGATTTTCAAATTTTAGAAGAGAAACCACAGTATAAACTAGATTTCTCTCATGGCTAGCTCATTGGATTGATCTGGAAAAAAAAAATCCTTATTGTTATTAAGACCTTAAAACCCTTGAAAGTTATGTTTTCTTTGGGTCTATCTGGTACATAAGGGTATCTTTACAACTGTTTTCTTACAAAATCATTAGTCCTACAGGCAAGTGTATTTAACCCATTAAGTTAGCATTGTCCCATCTTCCTTGGCCTTCCTAATCATGAATGAGGAATATTATACTGAGGTAAGCATGAACGATGTTTTCAGATTGCTGGGCTTGCATGTTGGTTTTGCCCACTTAATAGCTATGATATCTCATGAAGATCATTTTAGTTGGTTGTGCTTCAGTTTTACTACCTGTACTATGGGCCTCCTGATAGCACTGCTATAAGAAATAAATTAGTAAATTTAATTTGTTAATTAACTTGGTTAATACACATGAAGCATCTAAAAAGTAGAATATAGTAAGCACTACATAAATATTAGTTATTTTATTATTCATTATTTTTTCACACAGAAAATAATTTGTTTCTTACAGGCACAGATAATCATAAAAGTGAAGTGAAATAAACAATGAGAAGGCAAATCCAAATGTAACATGTTAATTCATGATCTGTTACTTGATTTTGGTCAGTTCCATCTTTTGGTTTCCATATTACCAGCTTTGAAGTCTCTGAGACTGATTCTGGATAAGAACTTATTTTGAAGATAATTTTATTATATTCCAGGATGATCAATACTGGTATCTTTATGAGGTCATTTGTGTCAATGGTTTATCAATTTTATGAATTTATAAGGAGTTGCTTTTACTTTCCTCAATTATAGGAAACGGTAAACGGTACATCCAATTGCCCAGGAATGATCTTGATTCCATCCTTTTCTCATCTTTCACATCGAATCTGTAAGTTCTTATAGTTCTATGTTTCTGATTCATCCACTTTCCTGTATCTCCAGAGCCACTATACTAGTCCAAGCTGACATTATCTCTTTCTCCTTTATCTTTTTTTTTTGATATAGAAAAAGTAATTTTTTTTAAATTTATTTATTATTATTATACTTTAAGTTGTAGGGTACATGTGCATAACGTGCAGGTTTGTTACATATGTATACTTGTGCCATGTTGGTGTGCTGCACCCATCAACTCGTCATTTACATCAGGTATAACTCCCAATGCAATCCCTCCCCCCTCCCCCCTCCCCATGATAGGCCCCGGTGTGTGATGTTCCCCTTCCCGAGTCCAAGTGATCTCATTGTTCAGTTCCCACCTATGAGTGAGAACATGCGGTGTTTGGTTTTCTGTTCTTGTGATAGTTTGCTAAGAATGATGGTTTCCAGCTGCATCCATGTCCCTACAAAGGACACAAACTCATCCTTTTTGATGGCTGCATAGTATTCCATGGTGTATATGTGCCACATTTTCTTAATCCAATCTGTCACTGATGGACATTTGGGTTGATTCCAAGTCTTTGCTATTGTGAATAGTGCTGCAATAAACATATGTGTGCATGTGTCTTTATAGCAGCATAATTTATAATCCTTTGGGTATATACCCAGTAATGGGATGGCTGGGTCATATGGTACATCTAGTTCTAGATCTTTGAGGAATCGCCATAAATGGGATCTCATTAAACTAAAGAGCTTCTGCACAGCAAAAGAAACTACCATCAGAGTGAACAGGCAACCTACAGAATGGGAGAAAATTTTTGCAATCTACTCATCTGACAAAGGGCTAATATCCAGAACCTACAAAGAACTCAAACAAATTTACAAGAAAAAAACAAACAACCCCATCAAAAAGTGGGCAAAGGATATGAACAGACATTTCTCAAAAGAAGACATTCATACGGCCAACAGACACATGAAAAAATGCTCATCATCACCGGCCATCAGAGAAATGCAAATCAAAACCACAATGAGATACCATCTCACACCAGTTAGAATGGCGATCATTAAAAAGTCAGGAAACAACAGGTGCTGGAGAGGATGTGGAGAAATAGGAACACTTTTACACTGTTGGTGGGATTGTAAACTCTTTCTCCTTTATCTTAAGCCACATCTGCCTTCTATGCTCTTTAGATATTTGGGGCTTTTGCATTTGCCGTTCCTGCATCTGAAACGATTTCAACCTAAGCATCACACAAGACTGCTACTTTCTCAGCTCTCATCTCTCAGCTCAGCTAGCTCTTCCTCAGAGAGTTCTCTATATTCCTAAAGTTTCTCATCTACCCCAGTACTCTCTATTACATCACCCTATTTATTTCTGCTATGGACTGAATTGTGTCCTCTCAAGATGCATATGTTAAAGCTCTAACTACTAATGTGATAGTATTTGGAGATGGGGTATTTGGTAGGTAATTATACTGAGATGAGAGAATGAGGGTAGGGATTTCATGTTGGAATTAGTGTCCTTATAGTGAGGGACTATAGAGTTTGTTCTCTCTCTACTATGTGAGGACACACAGGGAGACACTGATCTGCAAACCAGGAAGACAGACCTCACCAGAGCTGAACTCTGGCAGAAACTTGATCTTGGATTTTCCAGTCTCTAGAACTATGAGAAATAAATTTATCTTGTTTAAGCCAGCCAGTCTGTGGTATTTTGTTATGGCAGCCCAAGCCAACACAATATATAGCATGTAGTGCCATCTGGATTGTTCTTATTTATTTATTTAACTCTGTAAGAGCCAGGATGTCGCCATCTTGTTTTAATTCCTTAAGGGCCAGGACTTTGTCATCTTGTTCATTGCCATAAGCCAGAAACTGGAACACTGACTGACACATGCATAATAGATATTCACTAGCAATTTCTGAATAAATGAGCAACGATGCACAGATGAGATACTTTTTTGAGATGTGATGTTTTCTTTAAAGAACATTACCTGAGGGATGAAATGCTGAAGTTTTAGTAGAAATTCAGTTTATAGTCCACCGATTGAATCACAGATTCCGCTCCATCTCATTTCTAAGCAAAAATAAATATACCTTCTCAGACAACTAGTTGCATACTTTCCTTTAAAAAATACTGTGAAGTGTAGAATCTATGTGTCACTGCAAATACTTTATGGCTAGGATATTATTCTTAAAGCAGGAGAACTCCATTTGGCAGCATATGTCTTTTTTATTTCACTTGAATTCAGACTTGACTAAATACTTCTAGAAGACGAACAGAAATAGGTATGCCATCAGCTTATTTGCTGAGGGTATGGACCTGAAGTGGGTGAAGTTAATCTAAAGAATAAAGGACTGAGGTTCATAAGTTTGAACAAAGGGAAATGGACCATTTTAGGGAGTAAACTAATTACAAAAGGGAAGAACAATTTTGCATGGAACACAAAGTTTCTCACCCCTGTCCCTGAAAGGAGAAGGGACTATATCAAAAAATCCAAAGGCACCCAAAAGAGCTATTTTACTGTGATCTGTGGAGACAGCTGGAGTAGAAGGCAACTATTCTCTGTAGTCTGGGAGGAGTGCCAACCACAGGACAGCAAACGAGGGTTTCCAATTTGCCATTCCTGTTGGAGCTCAGTGTGGACCCAGAGCCCCAGCAGCAAACCAGAACAGTGACATCTGGAATGGAGATACCACAGGGGAGGACATCTTATCTTTGTGACTTTATTCACCTCTGGCTTCTATGGTAGCAAGTCATTATGCCAATGGAGAATAGGACGTGTCAGCCAAGAAATATCCCCCCAAAGACTCCTGAAATTATATGGATTTAATTAAGGTTATCTGCTAAGAAAGGAATTGATTCTATTGTTGAAATTTTAATTTTTAGTTCCAGGCTGGTGTACTGGGTCAAAGGCTTGCATCCCTAATAGATAACTTCAGTGTTCATCGGGACTTTTGTCTTTAGTACTAGCAGTAAATGCTGCTTAATGAATCAGCTCTGAATTTTGCCTCATGTGATGACTGCTCTAACAATATTCATACAGTTCTTTACAATGTACACAGCCAAACCATCTCAGCAAGTCAATAATGAGAGTAAAGTTTGGGTTCTAGGGAAAGAGCTCAGGGAACTCTGAGGGAAGTCATGCACTTTCACTTTAATTCTTCATTCTTCTTAGTCAGACTGAGAAATTCAGTGCTTAAGGGCAAAACTTCTCATAGTGCTTAGCATGTACAAATAATTTCACTCTTCCCTTTCCCCCACTGTTGTAGGGTACCATTAAAGCCCCAAGAGAAAGGAAAGAAAAATTCAATATGACGCAGCCAGCACTGATGGGACCCTTTCTTCCCCCTTTCTATCCAGGCCTGGCCCCTGAACAACCTTGAGAAAACTGCAACTAGGTTAGGAGGACTCACATCAAAAGGAGCCTCTATCCAGGCTGTCTTATCCTAATTTATAGAAGTGATGTAATTGTAAAATATTAAATAACCTTCTCATGATATTCATGCATTACAAAGAGTGTTCTCCAAAAGATTTTAAAAATCTCACTATATATATATATGTGTGTGTGTATATATATATACCAATTTAAAAGAAGGTGAAAAATATTACATGGTTTTTTATCCAAGGAGGAAGAGTATAACACCTAAGTCCACAATTTTCTCCATTTTCTGTTAGGACTTTCCATTTCACAGCTGGGAAAATTAAAGATCTAAGAGATTTAACGACAAATAGGTAGTAAAACCAAACTTCCATCTCCAGAATTGTCTTCCTCAATTTTTTTTTTGTTTGTTTTTTGTTTTTTGGTCAATTTTGAAACTTCAAGAAGACTCTTGATACATAGCATTGACTCAGGCTCCTTTACTCAAATGAATTTTGTGCGTTAAGTTGCTTTCCTCTGAATTTATGATTAGTTTTCTCATTTTATGAATGGAACTTCAGAGTATCAACTGACCTTTAAGTTCTGCTAGTCTATAAATGTGTTCTTACTTCTGCAGCAAGGATTTCATCTTTAGTACAATCTATGTTTTCTGCTGACATTCTGATTCATCTAGAAAACTTTGGTATGACCCTAACTCAAGTCTCTTTTCACAGGGACTGAGAAGCCTCCTTGAAAAAGAGTTCACCTAAAGGGAAGAAGGAACCAGGCATGGCACATTTATAACAAAGTCTCTATCATTGAAAGGGAATAAGAAATTTCAGCACAACAGAGTGGCTGTCACTCAAATACATGTCTCGCCCAGATGCTTGTCTAGAATGAGAAAAATTTAACTAAAATAGAAAGAGCAGTTTTACACAAAAGCTCTGAAAATGTTGGTGTAGAGGCAGTGCTGCTTGGTGATCTCTCTGACAAATTATAACACAAAGGGAAGAAAGGCATGCTACCTTTCCCTATTTATCCACTATGAGACTTGAGCACATACTCAGTGATGCCTGGGGGAGCAGTGGGAGAGCCGACTAGAAGACTATGGTGCCCAAGGGAATCTTTGAAAGCTAATGGAGCAATAGCAGAGTCCCAAAAGGGCATAACTGTTTATAAGAACACGTTAGGCACCCTTTTAGGTTTTGTGGAAATACTTGGTGGTGAACATTGCAAAGGTTAGGGAGCTTGAATGTGAAAGTAGGTATAAGATCCAAAGAAATGTATTTATAATAATATTATTTAGTTTTAATATTATGTATAATAAATTATAAAATTATAAATAATAAATAAACAATAACCTCATCTGTAGCCTTATATCAGAAACTCAGATTGGATTTTACCCTTCTTCAGCTTCTGTCAATTGAATGTGACTATATAGGGTGGGATAGGGATGAGGCAGGAACTCTAAGTTGGCAACATATTCCCATACTCCAATGTAGTAAGGTTATTTAATTGTAATGTAATTGTAATTGATGTCAGTATAACATGTGCAGCAGCCTACATCCAGTAATTGTCAATGCAATTTCAGGATTCTGTCATATATTTCAGTTCCTGTGCCCATTTCTACTAGGGCTTTGGCTGATTGCAGAGAGAGGACAAAATGTAAATATAACAGTAAAGCAGGTAGGAGCCTCACTCAAAACATTTCATCTTCAGCTAATCTGTGACAAAGTAAATCAGTCTCTCTCTTTCTCATATATATATTTATTTATTTTTATTTTTTCTCTACCTAAGGAAGAACAAGGTAGAGTATTTCTGGTGTACATATATATGTTATTTGTGAAAAAACTAATTACACGTAGGCATATTTTCAACATTTTGTATTTTACCATATAGGCACATGTTTACATATATTTTACTTATATGTACATATATATATTAGTAGATTATTTTTGCTTCATATGCCTTATTTTCTTTATCAGCTTTTCAGTTGTGACTGTATTTGATTTTTCATAAATATTTCCATGGAATGTTGTTGTTGGTTTTTCTTCTTAAATGGATGAGCCACTTTTGTCCAAGGTTAATGGAGGACGTGTTGTCCTACTGATCATTTTTTAAAATTCATAAATCTATCCAGTTAGAAAATTTTAATATTTTCAGAAAGGTTACAGGAAGAGATGTAGAGATTATGTGCTTATTAAAGAAAATTGCTTTAGACATTTTAAAAATGAAAAATGCTATTTCTGGGCATTTACACAACTACAAATGTAAAATTATAATGGGCAAGGTGACTCTGGTTCAACATAGGTACATTAACTAACATCACAAGTCACAGTTACATCCAGATTGCGTGACCCTTTTGTCTAGTTTCCTGGAAAAAACATTAGATCAGGACCCAGGTCTTATAGGAAACATAAAAAGTAGTCTTGACCTAGGGCCAAAAAGGACATTTGCAGCAAAGTTAGTGAGTGAGAAGACCGTTGAAAATATTCCAAGTGTTGCAGATTGGATTTCAGAGGACTCCGTGTTTGGAGAGCAAAACTGGTGGGGGGGTCTAAGTTTACCTGACGTGGAGAGAGGGTGGTGTTCTCTTAGCTTTAGAAGACAGACAAACAGAATATTTGCTCATAGTTCAGGTTCTGCCATATGCTTGTGTATCATAACCATAAAACATTTCATAGATATTAATATTTTACTTTGATTTTATGGCACATAAAATTGGTCAATATCAGAGAGTGTGTTATAATAATAGCGACTCCATTACTTACTAATTGCTGATCTTGAGTCTAATATTTTGCTTTTCTTTGACTTAGTTTCCCATCTGTAAAAGGGAAAAAAATAGTTTTTTTGTAAACATCTTAGAAGAATTGTGAGGATTAAAAGAGAAAATATTCATGCAAGTTCTATGTAAATGTAAAGTATCTTTGATGAACATTACATTTAACAAACACTTGATCAGTGTGTCCCCATGTACAAATAAACATAAAGATCCAGAAACTTCTTGCAAAGTAGCAGTAAAAAGAGAAGGGATAGAGGGAGGGAGGGAAGGGGAAAGGGAAGGGAAAGAATAAATCAGCCAATCTATTTAAGACACATTTTCTCTTAAAAAAAAAAAATAATAAAACCCTGAATTTAGTCCTTTTGATTCTTGTGAATAGACACCATGCTCTCCACTGATGAGCTCCTATCAGAGGTACTAAACCAAACAAAACATAAGAAAACACTACTAATTCACTAGCCATAGGCTTAGAATTTGTAAAAGCAGAGAAATACTGTTTTATAATCGTGTTATACTCTCCATGAATATCTATCAAGATAAGAAAATTCACATATGTAAATAAGATTATAGGTAGAAAGAAAGTTTAAAGTTCTTGAAAATAAACTTTTCAAGATGCCCTCAGGCTCTTTAACAATATAATTTGCATATAAATAATTGACACCTAATTATAAATCATTTTGATCTGTTCATCAAAGCAGGTTCCAAAGGACTGCTGGTAAGCAGGGCTTTGTTTGCCTGGTTCCAATTACTGTATTAATTAAAATTTAATTGAACAACCAAGCTTAATTAATTAATTAACTAAATAACGTAAAAGAAAATGAACAGTAAAAACAGTACAATTTTACAATTATGACTGCTAGTATCAGATTAGCTTCTCCAGGACATATGAATTACTGCAGTCTTCATGCAGGTGCATTTACTTTCATTTTTTGACCCTTTAATTCTCAAATGTTTCACATTTGTAACCTTTGAACTTCATATCTCCTAACTCTGTCAAATGCAATCTTGACATGTTTGTCTTTAGCTTTCACATCCAAGCTCCAAGGTGGGTTTGTTCAGCCAGCTTATTCATAAATATTTGAACTTCACCAAAGTGTGTAGTTTTGGTTGAATGATTTACAACAGAGAAGGAGAAGACGGTGCGACATTATGACTCATAGTCACAGCTCTAGTTTTAAGACTTAGGAAAATTCCAGCTACTCAGGAAGCTGAGGCAGGAGAATCATTTGAACCAGGGAGTCGGAGGTTGCAGTGAGCCGAGATCATGCCGCTGCACTCCAGCCTGGTGACAGAGCGAGACTCAGTCTCAGAAAACAAAAACAAAAACAAAAACAAACAAACAAACAAAAAGACTTAGGAAAAACTAATATGAGAAGCTTGATTAATTTTCACAGCATTTTGTTAGTCTGCTTAATTTTCGAATTCTCTTTCGTACTTAGAAAATGTGCTTGGCCTAGTAGTTCCTTTCTTTAGGATTGTTAGCAATTCCTGGAAAGGGTCTAGGGAGTAAGTAAGGCTACTGAGTTGGAAATTTTTCAGTTCTCCCTCAGCCTTTAAATAAAGCCTCTGATCTAGAAAATTGGTGAGAGCAGTGCTGTGTCTTGACTTTGGCCCAATTACAGAGAGTTGCTGATCCATCTGAGCAGAACTCTCACTGTACTTTGCTTGGTCATAGTCGGAAGACAGGTGAGGTAGGAGAAATGGAGTCTCATCCTGGGAGTGGACATGCAACACAAAGGGAAAATATTAAAAGAGAAGCTGAGACTCAGGGTCACTGTACCTGTCAGTTTCCTTGCCCACCCCATTCCAAACCAGCACAGCCAAAAACTATCCTCCCAACATGTCAACTCTTTCTCACTCTCTTTCCCTCTTACACCTTGAGCAAATGATCACCTCTTGTTACCATGAAGCTCCTATTTTTTGACCCACTGCAAATGTGTTTGGGCAGTAGAACAAATAAAACACTCTCTCTGACTGTGTTTGGAAAGTTTTTAGAGTAATAGTATGTGAAGCAGTTGCCAGGCATGCATACTATAATGGGAGGACAGGAACCATGGCTTTCTTTTTAAATTTTTGCTTCCTGCCTGTAGCATCCATTAGCATACCTGGCATACCACAGGGTTCTAATAAATGTTTGGATAAGTTGTAATGGACAAATAATCTTAAAGTCAGTACAGAAAGAAGTCTTGTCCTTAGGGTCTGATTTGCCAGCCATCATTGTTCTATTTCTCTCTTTTTGCTTTTTCACAAGCCCTGTTGTTTTGATGAGTGGGTGCTATAAAAACAATTTAAATTATCACAAGGTTAATTCTTACGTTGTATTGTAGTCAAAATGATGCAGATTCATAGGGAATTAAGACTGACTTGCATGAAAGTTTAAATGTATTCTGTATCAGTCTAAAATTGAGGAGGCACTTGGCTGAACTCCGGAGGTATAGAATGTGGTATTTCATTAACATTTCCTGGTAGCTTTCAAAATGTTATCTAGTGCTCAGACAACAATCCAGGATTCCTGCTATGGCTAATTTAAAATCCGCCAAAGTCAATGGTCATTCTTTTAAAGTTAGAAAAAAAAGCAATAAGTCAGTTCAACATTGCTGTTTTCAAGACTTCAGCATCCAGTAATGATGGACTGTGTAATCTGGAGCAACCCTGTCACTGAGGACAACTAGCAAATACGGACAAGAGATAAAAAATCATCCATTTGAGGACATCAGATAGATAACAGAACAATGAGGAATATCAGGCCAATATTGGAAAAAGAAAGGGACTCCTACCCTAATGATGTTAACCCAGCAATCGGGGCTGGTTTTGCCTTGGGAACTTTTGCTGATCCAGATGAGTCCGCTAAGACTAACCAGAGTTTTCACAACCTTAAAAAGGGTACGGGGTTGAACACTGAGTTTGGTAAACCACCTTTATGTTGGATTGGGACTCAAAGGCTATGCTTCAGGAGGAAAGGTAACCCAGAAGTAAACTAGCCTTCTCCCTAGCTGTAGCCTGGCCCAGATTACCCAGAACAATCTCACTCTGATATTGGATTAAAATAATCCTTGTTGGCCTGGTGCAGTGGCTCATGCCTGTAATCCTAGCACTTTGGGAGGCTGAGGCATGAGGATCACCTTAGCTCAGGAGTTTGAGATCGGCTTGGGCAACGTGGCAAATCTCAGTCTCTACCAAAAATTTAAAAACAAAAAATTGCCAGGCATGGTGGTGCACACCTGTGGTCTCATCTACTCGGGAGGTTGTGGTGGAATGATTGCTTGAGCCTGGGAGGCTGAGGTTGCAGTGAGCCAAAATGATGCCACTGTACTCCAGTCTGAGTGACATAGTGAGAACCCCTCTTAAAAAAGAAAAATCCTTGTTTATTGATGACCCCCCAGGTACCTACAGAAGCAAACAAAAATTCTCCTAGAGGAATATAATATTATTCTATGCCTCAAATTATTTCTATGAATGTTTTTTTCAAACCAAAGTCCTGCACACAACCAATGATATAACCAACCCCATGAAGAGATAAGACAACATGAATGAGAACCAGCAGAAAAATATAGAGGACAGGAAACATCCAGAAGCTGCAGATGTCATGTGGGAATTATTAGATTGCAAAGTCACTAAAAAGAATTTAAAATTAATTTTATTTCAACAAGTGGCTGTTGAGTACTAGTCTAGACAAATTCAAGGATATAAATACAAATAGGTTATAATCTCTAATTTCAGGAAAATTAGAGTAAAGTCATGGAAAATATGTATGCAATTTTCCTCTTTTATTTATTATGTTTTTATGGAAGGACTGGTAGAATAAAAGAACAAAAAAAGAAAAAGGTAACAGAAATTCCTATTTTCATTAGCTTCCAAACAAGCATGAGAAAGAGGCATTTAGAGGCAAATATCACTATAAGGGTCACAAATAGGCAAAATTGACCAAGGTGATGGAAGGAATGGCTCATCTGAGAAAGTAATAATTGGGCTAGGAACAAAGCATAGGATTTTACTGGTGTTAACTTCTAAATAACAGCTTGAATACATGATTCCTTGACCTCAAACTTGTAGTGACTCTGTATCCACTATATGATAAAGTCTGTGTAACAGGCTTATTAAATTTACTGAATCAGAAGGTACAATCATTTTACAGCTAGATGTAGAATTAAATCAAATTAAATTAATTAATTAAATCTAAATTAATACTTTAGTTTACCATCCAATTTAAAGCTAGGGGTTCCTGCAGCAAGGAAGCAATATGGTAGCATGGTCTGGTTTTCTTTTCTGTTATTCCCCCTCTCAATCTCTTGCCCCTAGCTTTTAGGATCTGAGCTAGAAAAGAAAAAAAAAGACTAAGAAAAAAAGAGGTAGTCATTTAATTATATGGGTCTGCATCAACTTCTCTCTTAGCCACCAGTGATCTTACAGCAGCTGCATTCAACTCCTGGCTTCCTTGTGAAGCACATTTGTGGGCTCTTTAGGGCCATTTCCACACTGTACAATTCTTAAAGTGGGTGAAGTATTCTCTGCTGAGTCTGTTTTGGACCCTTCCACAGCTCCCATCCCCATGCAACTGCTTCTGCCCCGGGAACACAACCCATTGTGTCTTGTCCCTGAGGCATTCTTACCCTGAAGGCGGTTCTTTCTTGGTGGCCATCTAGGAGGCACACTTGGCCACAATAATGCTGAGAGAGGAAACTGCCCTGTTGCTACCCTCACTCCCAGCCTTGCCGCTCCTACTCCTAGTGTAGCTCTTGACTCAGCTTCCCACCTTCAGGATCCTCTGGTCAAGAAACACATACAACCTCTAGGTGCATGTGTGTTTCCCAGGGATTCCCTCACTGCCTTCCATTCTTGCAACTCTACTGGGAAGAACGTAAGAGCTTCTACAGCTGAACAAACATCAACTCAGGTGTGAAATGCTAGCCTTGCTTCTTTGCAGGCACCCTCAGTCTCTCTGAATGTCTTGTTCTCTCTCTCTCTTTCTCTCTCTCTCCCTCTCTCTCTCTCTCTCCCCTCATTCTAAGTCCTCCCCTCTCCTCTTGACTTAGAAAGAAGAAGGAA